ATTTTTCTTTAAACTGTGTTAATAAATGTGACATTCTGTCCTAAGTAGATTGAAGGAATTGAACAAAAGTGATGCGCATGATACATTTTATTCATATTTAATAGAGAAATTACTGCATATGTGCTTTTAAGTAAGGAGAAAATAACTTCTCTTTCTTTTCACAACATCACTCAACAAAGCATTTACCAGATAAGAAAACTAACTTTTATTGCTWTCCTCATTTTGCACATTACAAGCAACATGAAAAGAAAATAGATTTGGATTCCATAAAACTCTGTTCTTCTTTTACTTCTAAAGGAAAAAAGAAAGATAGTTGAAGGTGCATGTTCTTAAAAACTTGGCTCTGTGCCTAGAGTTCTGCTCTACAAATAATCAATGCTGAATCATGTTTACCAATATTTAAATCCTTATGAGTAGTATCTGTGGATTGACAGAAAGCATTGACAGTATGACTTACACTATATACATATGGTATGTATGATTTTGAATCTATATCAAGAACAAAAAGGCAGAAAAGTAGGACAAGGAATTGGTGCAAAGGGTGACTTTGCCTCAATCCTTGTTTTCCATTATGTTTTCTAGGTATATTTTGTAAATGAGATAACTTAATTCAGAAGTATATATTTTATTTTATGAGACCTTGTGGTTTTTTTTAAAGGAATAACCCACTTTTAAAGAACTAGAAGGATATAATGGCATTTAATTATGCCACCTTCAGAAATTATTTTTATTTTTGCTCCTTTAACTGGRAAAATTTTCACCCTCTATCCAATTGAAAAACAACTCAACAGTTTGGAATGTAAGCAGCCAGTGTGACTTTGTCATCATAAGCATTAAAATTTATTTAAGAGTTAAGAAAAAACACAGTATTCAGTTAAGTATTGAAGCATTTTGAAGAGGGATTAGTCCAATGCTCTTTTAGGGTGAAAAATGTAATAGATTAAAATCTGTCTTTAACAAGTATGTGGAATGCAAGTTAGTGGCATTGTACTGTATTTAGCCCATTGTTTTAATTTTCCTTATGATTAATTTTGAAGATTTTATTGAACTCTTTGAATAGTATGGGTCCAATATGCAATGTGGCAATTGATCTAAGTTTTCTTCCACACAATTTCATTTGGTGAGAGAAAGACAGGTTTACTGTTTCACTGCTTCCCTAAGTTTTATGTGGAATATTTCCTTTAAGGACAAATTCTGAAGAGGAATAGAAAATAAATTAGGATTTTACTTTATCACTCACCAAATTATTAGTTGAGTTATAATATCTTTTTTCTTTGTAAAATATTTGATTTTGTTTGGAAAGTATCACAATATTTAAAATATATCAGAACATCCACATCTTGTTTGACCTAAAAGGCTTTATGGAACTTTTGCCTTTGATGAACAGCCCAAACTCCAAACAAAATACCTTCATCGGGCAACAGCAAATTATTTTTTAATTAATCTATCTGACATACTAACAACTGGAAGAAACTGGAATGTCGTTTTTTGTAAAGTGCTCCTTTGGTTTCTACTCTCCTACAGGAATAACTATGAAGACTTTATTGCACTAAAGAAGCCCTCCCTGGCATCTGAGGCATCTGAGGCACTTTTTTATTTTATTTTTTTTTAAATAAGAGACAAGTGACAGAATTTAAAAGTAATTACATTTCTGATATTACTGGTCTGGTTGACTCTCATGCAAAATARTTTCTGTGATTCATGTACATTTTATGACTACTCATGATATCCTGCATAGCTTCCAACTCTTAGTAACTGCATAAGTAAAAAAAAAGTAGCATAAATAAAACAGCATGGTAAAATCACTGTTTTCTGTGTGTGCAGTTCATTCTATTTGTAACACTTGGCTTTGATACAAGACTTTTTTTTCCAGAAGGAAAAGTGCCATCTACTGAATCACCAAAACACAACTTTGCAGCATCTCGAGAGATTTTCCTGAGAACATTCCTTCCCAGTTACTGATCAGATCAAGCCTCACAGTGTTACTGGATTTCAAGTGTTAATGGAAAATCAATGAACTGCACTTCAAATGTCTTAAAATTTTTACTTTCTGAAAAGTTTTTACTTTCTTGTCCCCAAGATTTCTGGGGAGACATCGGATGCAGAGGCATCCTCTGCATCTCCTTAGCACCCTAAAGTGGTCAGATTTCCGGTAAGGAGTTATTCCTGTTTTCCCTGATTAGCCAGTTCGGGTTTGATGAAGTTACAGACAGAAAGACTACAAAACCTGCACACTAATAAATAACATTTATGCAGAGAAAGAAACAAGAAAAAATAAAACAACTTTTTGACAACTATGCTGTGGGAAATGACCTGTAAGTTAATTGAGACAAGGTAAAAATTGCCTGACAAGGTAAACAACATTTTTAAAAGACATTAAATTGCTTTAAAGACCAATTGGACAATAAACCTTATTCAGGACTTAGAAGTGCTGTCAGTATTTTTCAGGGCTAAGCAGTAGACACTTGAATGAATAAAAAATATCAGCCACTGTATAACCCTGCACTGCTCTTAGAAGAATGTCACTACAAAAGTGGAGGGATTGGTAAATATGATTTATATGTTCAAAAGTTTGGGAAGTCTCTAAATGAGGTCACAGGCTTACCAAATTTGGATAAGCAGAGGGTTATGAGTAAAGTCTTGTCATAATTTAAAACTAACTCATGAGAYAGAACAGGAATGAACTCTCCATTCTTAATGTAAAATTATTTAGCAGTAAGACACAGCAACACTSTATACAGAGGCAATACATAAAATGTAAGCAGTTGTGTAGGAAAAGTATGTCTAACAATGAATGCTCCAATTAGTGTCTGTAGCAAATTTGGTAGCAATTTTGTGACAATGATGATTACTTGTAGGGTAAGAAACCATTCCTATCTATGTATGCCATATTATGTGCAACCATGTACACTATACTTTAAATTCTGACACAAAATAGGCTTTTTTTCTCCAATTATAAACTGGATGCATGGTGGTTTCTGCATAGATAATTCCACTGACAGATTTTCATAAATGTTTTATTTTTTCAGTTCATACAATAATGCTTCTGAGCAGTAATATTCAAACACATTAATTGAAACTTATTCAACATCTTGTGGGTTGCTTTCTTTCTAATTTAGTGGTGAGTGCAGTTTGGAAATTCTGACTGTATTACTTAGCCAGCTTCAAAAATCATATGATGTTGTTGCTCATATAGAAACAGTAAAGTAAAAATAACCAGAAGGAATGCTTTTAAAAGTCAGTGTTGGAAGAGCTTTCACTTGGTGAGATGAAAAAGAAATCTCCCGTTTGACTTGAAAAAAGTTGAGAGGAAAGACAAGGGCTCTTCTTGAATATGGCCTCCTTGAAATTGTTTGAAAGGTCTTTGAAACACCTGGGGGAAAAAATTACACTGTGTGCCCACTAACATATAATTTCAGCCAAATATCATAAATTTTATCATGGCAAAATGTGGAAAGATAATTACACTTTATCCTAGGCAGTAATAGGTGCTGTCAGGCCTTCTCTATTCATATCACAGTCCCACAGTCTTCCCAGAGACAAACTGTTTGTCACCAAGTGTGGATTTTTACCACATGCAGACACACAGCTCTGGGCAAGGCTGCTTTTCCTGTCCTGCTTTAGCTAGGTTAAARTATTTCAGGCTGCCAAAACTCTCAGAAACATTTACAATTTCAAAGTCAGCTGCAGCCATGCAGGGTGATGCCCAAAGCAGGGCTTGGCTGCATGCCTTCTTCTCACTGTTCATAGCTAGTGGGAGATAGAAATACCTAAACCAACTCCTTTTAGCTTTTTTTTTTTTTTTTTTTTTTTTTTTTTTTTTTTTTGCAGTAAAATGAAAAACCACCAGAGGTTAGTGATATCTTACAGTCTCTTCATTTTGCTCCACAGATTGATCTCTGAAGAGTGGTAGGGAAAGTATGTGTTAAAAAGTGGCACTGGCGGGTGTTTCAGAGAAAGAGCCTGATAGAAGATTTGTGAAAGATACCCTGGCTCACATGCCTCCTTCATTTCTACATGATGTGATACACAACCTTTTACTTCCCAACTAGAACACAGTCTACTGATTCTTGTGCTTTTGCAGCACAGTATATACGGCTGAGCAGGGACACGTCAGTGACTTTTACCAATCTGGTGGCATTTAGACACTATCCTTCCATAGCTTCCTTAGTCCAGACTTAGTCATGTACACTGCAGATGAGCTAAACCGGTGACTACAGTACAGGGGTGCGAATGTCATCATCCAATAAAGAGTTTTATYACCAGAAACAGGCATTGTTGTTGTTCCCTTCGACATGAATTGTTCAAAGTATCAGCCACAAAAAAAAAGTGTTTCCTTTATGGGGCGGCTGTGTTTGCGCGTAAATATCTTTCCCCCGGCAGAGCTGGTGCGATCCGTCCCGCTCCCGAGGACTACCACGGAGGGCACCGGGGAGAGACAGCACCGTGCTCCCTCCGGGAGATACAGCGCAGTGCTCTCGCCCCCACGGGCCTTCGGGCGCCGAGGAGGTGGGAGAGCATCTCTTGCGAAGAAGCCGCCGTGCCTCAGGAGTGCGGGCGGTGGGCGCTCCTCCTCCGGCCCCCGCGGCAGCCCTGAGACGCAGCCGGAGCCGGGTCG